GGGGAAAATTGGCAAGAGTTTCACTAGGAAAACATAACAACAAAGGTCCAGAATGATTACATCAACATTGGCAACACTGACTACATCAGACCTAGCAAGGCTTGCTGGTCCACTGCCAGCGCAGCACGGTCGACCGCGTGCCAGCACAACTCGGTCGACCGCGCTCCAGCAGAGCAGAGTCGCGGCTTGCCAACGTTGCAAGTCCGCGGTGCGCCAACGCTGCAGTATGTCGGCTGCACAGCGTCGCATCCGCGGGACAACGGTGCACCAGCTTCGCAGGTGCGTGCAGCTGGTTGGCGCCCAACTCCCCGTCACATGCCCAGCGCAGACACTCCGCCCGTGACGGCGCCCACCAGCCACGTCGACCTCGGGATACCACCCCCGAGATCGCCATCGTAGATAACATCCCCGGCGACTTTCGCGTACGTCGCCCGGGTATCCTGGTTGACCGTGTACTTCGCGGTCCTCCCGCGGTTTCTCGGTCACCGCGGTCCTCCGCGGTTTCGTGGATCCACGATCCCCCGTGATTTCGTGGCTCCGCGGTCCCCCACGATTTCGTGGCTCCGCGGTCCCCCACGATTTTGTGGCTCCCACGGTCGGCTCCGCCCAAGCGAGGACGGGGCCAAACACAACTCCCGTTGACAGCTCCTGACCCCGAGGACGACGAGCGGTGGTGGAATGGGGAGCTGTGGGAGTCCCCCCCCCAGCCTGCGACTCTGTGGGGCCGCGAGTGGGACATCCAGTGCGATGTTGTGAAGGACATCCTTCGCTGGGAGAAGCGGATGGTGGCGGTTGGGGAGTGCATGTCGCACGTGGCGACCGTTCTCGAGCAGCTGCACGCCGACTTGGTGGCGCGGAACCTCGTTCTCCGTGATCCTCAGTTGACGGAGCCCCTGCAGGGTGTTGTCCGGGCTGCGGCGGCGCAGGGTCTCTGGCGCCTCCTCCGTTTGCCCCTGGAGCCCGAGTTCCCCGAGCATGACGAGGGTCCTGGCGCGCGGGCTTTCCGGCGGGTAGCCAAGGCTGCGGAGGAGTCTCCCCTCGAGCTCGTGCCCGCGCTCGCTGTTCTCTTGCGCTGGATGCGTCGGCGGTTTTACGTGCTGAACCGCGTGTAGCGCCCTGCTCCCTCTTGGCGCCGTGGTTTGCCTTCTTGTTCCCCATGTTTGGTTCTCCCACTTACCTTGCCCTTGGTCTGTGGGCCGTTTCTAGCGCCGCATTTGTATCTCTCTCCTATAGTGCTGTTGTTGAAACTTGCCGTCCCCTCACGCGCGGCCGAAGGCCGCGCTGTCGAGCGGCCGGCGCGAGCCGCTGGATTCGCAGTGAGAATGGGCTCACCACCGAACAATGAGGGTGAAAGTGGGCTGTATGCCCTTATATACCTAGGCACTGAACTGAAACAGCTAGGGAGTAGGCTACACTAAGGAACTAGTCTACACTAAGGGACTAAGTTGAAGTGGCTAAGGACTAAGTGAACAAGGGTCTCTCTCTCTCTCTCTCTCTCTCTCTCTCTCTCTCTCTCTCTCTCTCTCTCTCTCTCTCTCTCTCTCTCTCTCTCTCTCTCTCTCTCTCTCTAATGGTCCATGTATTGATAGGTCGGATATTACAAGCATGCAAGGTATAATCTATGGGATCTAGGCAACACACAAACACAAGAACCTAACAACCATCAAACTACAGCTCCACTAGGGGCTCAAGGACTGCAAAGCAATCCCCCAGGTGCAACTCATCCCCAATCCCACCCACTGGCGGGTTCTCTGCTGCCGCTGCCTCGCCTAACTTGAGCAGCAAACCAACTGATTGGGCCCGCTGGAGGACCACTGACCACCGCTGTCGAAACTAGTGCAGAAATTTTGCGGCATAATAGGATTTGGAGTCGGCGTTGAAGTGGCGCCGAGCCGCTGTGTCTGCAAGTAGCTTCAAGAAAACGGGTACCTCTGCACACGGACAGCCGTAGGTCTCTACGGCCAGTGGAAAGAAACCGACTGTCTCTGGTCGGTTTGAGTAGTGTTTGATTTTCTTGTCGGCCTGCTCCCTTGCCGCCCATCCCCTTCCTTTCTGTGCTTCCGGGTCCCTTGTGCTGATTGGGTCTGTGATCGTAACATCACACACCCAGACCGCCCCGCTGCTTCTGTCCGTCATCGTGAAGTCAGCCGTCTGTTCCTCCACGGGGCAGTAGGTTGCTGACTCGCTGTGAACAATGAATCTCGCGTCCTGTGCCATGCTGATGCATGCGTCTCTAAGCTCGTTATGAGTGTTGATGCGCTGCTTCCCCGTGCCGCATCAAAATAGATGGTTAGGAAGGCGAGGGTCGGTGATGGCTGTGTGGTCCGCACAATCACAGTTTTTGGGAGTTGAGAAAGGGAGGCCTAGGCGGAAACGGACGGCATTAGCAAAGTGCACTGGCCCTATGCGTCTATTCGCTGCTATGGGCATCGCCGTGAGCCAGTCACCCGTGCCATACCCAGTGAGCGAAAACATCCGCTGTGTATGTCCCGAGAGCGGATTCAAATCCATTCTTCTAGTCGCCTGAACCGGCACCGCGTAGCGACTGCCGTGAACCTGAAGAGCTAGCGCGTGCTGCAGCCGAATGTCTGAACGCTCCAGTCTCTCCTTCTCTAATAGCTCACGCGCGTTGCCTGGCAAGGCCATCTCACACTCTGCAAGCCATGCGTGGAGCGGTGTGCTGTCATCCCAGGGCAGGAGCATGTGCTGTCGTGCAAGCGCGAGGGCGTTTCCTGCGTCTAGATCGAGGGAGTAGAGAAATAGTGCCGCCTGGGTGAAACTAGCTACGAACCCGTAGACTCCTTCGATAGTGGGGTCTGTGATGCCCACCCCTCCTAGCGACGGTGGCAGTGATGCCTGTGCCCAGACTCGTGCTTGCTCGTCCCTACTCGAAGGAAAACGGATGTCGCAGGAGATGAGTAACGCAGTAAGAAGGTCGCGACGCCACTGGGCCCAGGTGTCTCGAGGGAGGAGGTCGATGGGGGTTGTCTTGGTAAGGTAGGCGACACGCCTTGAGAAGCAGCGACTGATCAGTAACGAGGCCACTTGGGGGTCAGCCCGCTCAATGAGTGGTAAGGGCTTCGCCATTTCCTCCAGCTGGCCCGCTAGGAATTTCGCCGCCCCGGTGGTCGGCCCGATGTAACTGCTAAGCAGGCGAACTCCCTCGGCTTTGAATGGCACTCCCGGAGGTAATTGATTTTCCTCTGCCATTGTCTTGCTCCATGCCGCGCATTTCTGTGGGTTGTGTGTCAGACCCAGCTGCCGCAACCTCGACGTGAAAAAGTTGAATGCCGCTACAGTAGCATCTTGTTCGCCCACAAAAGTCACGTCGTCTGCATACGCCAAACACAGCACGTCTGTGTGTGCCTCAGCTGTTTCACGGAGTGTTGGGTGAATCCCTGCCGCAAACAATAATGGCCCTAGAGGATCCCCTTGTCGAACTCCCCGTTCGCTGGTCAGGGGTTCGCTCCCAAAATTGACGTCCAGATGTAACCGCGAGGGGTTACCGTATGTCAACTTCACAAAAGGTTGCAGCGGCGAGAGATTGGGCTCTTGTAACGCAGTCGCAATGGCCTGTCGTGAGATACTGTTGAAGGCGTTTGCGATGTCAGCTTGCAACACCAGGCTGTTGGGCCGTGCGTCCAAAAAAGCTCTTGCTGCGTGGAACACCACCTCGGCTCCACCTGGCACTGCTACACCGTACTGTAGTGGTAAGAAATGTTCGCGGGCAACATCGCCCATGACCGCCAGTGCAGCTTTAGCAGTCAGACGGGTCAGACATTCGCCGATGGCGATTGGCCGAGCCCCTCCACCAGGCTTGGCCAACGCGACGAGGCGCGATGAAGTCAGCAGGTCAGCCACCGGGCCCGGCAAGTTTCCCCCCAACAGTGTATTGACCAGGGCATGCAGATGGGTGCTGACCCGGGCGTTGGTTACCGCCGCGTCTCGTAGATGTTCGAAAGTCATGCCAGACGGTCCCGCCCCTACACCGTTTTCGCATCTCCCCAGCAGTTTGGCGAAATCGGCGTAGGCGATGGTCAGATCCGCTTCGCGAGCTGAATGCCAGGTCAACGGCTCGGCCCCCGCTGACGGGTGCTTGTTGCGAAGTTCGGCCAAAATTTCCGGGCTGGGTGTACAGACCGGTGTTGACTCAAGGGCCAACACCGCTCGTCGCAGGCTACCGCGTTTCGCCAGCCCCTCGGCTCGGCTGATGACCCCTGTCGAGTCGGGCTGGTGTCGTGGCGCGGGGGGCGTGTTGACCGCGTTTACTGCGTCCTGGTACAGCTGGTTCCATTCGCCACGTTGGAAGGCTCGGAGCCGGGCCTTGATTTGGGGCCAGTCGGGGCGTCTCGGCGATGTTTGGCGAAGTGTCAGGCGGGGTAAAAAGAGGAGCAGGCGCCAGCCAACTTCCGAATCCGGGTTACGCGACAAGTAGAGCAGCGGGGTCAGTAACGCCAGCGAGAACAGCTGGCATAGATTTGGCGGTAATCTTCGTGTCAGCGACGGTTGTCGACTGTCGCACAGGGCTGACATGTCCCAGGTCGCGATGTCAGCGAACTTGTCTTCCAGCTTCGCCAGCTCCTCTGGTGAAAAATAGCGCGCCCTGTGGGGTGCTGGCGGCGGCGCGTTCCCAATGTTGGCAGTTCTAGCTCGGCGGGAGCGGTTCGGCCTCGCGTTCTGTGGGACGGTTGGAATTACGTCCGTCCGATCTGCATCCGACGGTCCCTGCCCTGCTCCTGGCTGTTGTAAGGCCAAGTCCTGTGTTCCTAACTCTGTTCTTCCACCCTGCTGCCTTGCTTCCTCGTCCTCCTCAGATTCCCCGTCTTCACTTGGGGGGATCGCTTCCTCCCTATAAGAGGGGTCCGCCGCCTCCTCGTCTTCATTAGCTGCTTCTAGAGCGTTTAAAGCCTGCCGCCCTGCCGCTTGATACCCGTTCTCCGGTCCCCCGCCTGTTCCGCTACCAGCCTGCCTCCTAGCCCCATTCTCCCTTTGGTTCAAGGATGGTGATTGCTGGAGGGCCTGAGCTGTCGCTAGAGCGCGCTGCCAATTCCCAGACGGTGGCCGAAAAGGCGACCATGGCGACGAAGCCCCCGCTGCCACCGGTTCCGAAGCCCGGGACAGCAGTCTCTGAAATGCCTCCTCCCCTCGTACCCGCGGTTCCTGCTGCGGCGTTGACGCCTGCCGGGTCTGCGCCTGTCCCTGCGTCGTCTGCTCCGGCTGCTGCAACCGTTCCCCTGGCTCCCCCTGTCGTGGCACCGGCGACTGTCCCTGTCGCGGCTGATGTTGATCCGCCAGTTCCTGCTCCTGCCGCACCTGATGCAACGCCCGCTGCTGTCCCCGCCGTGCCGGCGCCTTCCGCTGCTTTGTCACCGCAGGCGGCGTCTGCCACCACTGGCGGCCCGGCTCCGATGGTTGCGCCCCTGGCGCCTGCAGGGACGCTGGTGGCCCAGGCGGGTCAGCCATCGCGCCCTTCCTCGCCTGACCGCCGCTTGTCTCGCCCCCATTCTCCTGCGCTCCACCAGGAGCGCGCGTCGTCAAGGCGCCGGCGTGATTCACCCCGGCGCAACCAGCAGCAGGCGCAGTGGCCTGCTCACCCTGGTGGCAATGGGAGCTGGAGGGGCCCCCACGGGCATGGTGGTGGCGGGAGATACCGTCCGCCTGTGACAATGGCGGATCTCCAGCGGGAGGTGTCGCGGGCCGTGCGTGAGGAGAGGGCGGCGCAGAGTCAGAGCAGTTCGCTGCGGGCTGCGCCGGCGCCTGTGGCTCCTCGTCAAGCTGAGCCTCCTGTGGCCCCTCCGTCGGCTGCTGCATTTCCTCCTCCTGTCCTCGCCCCGTCGGCTCCATCTCCTTCTGTCTCGGCGCCTTCTCCCGGCTCTCGTCTGCATTTGCCACCGGTTCCGCCTGTTGCTGGGGTGGAGTTTGTTGCCGCGGGGGGTGGCGCTGCGGCTCAGCATTCCCACCACGTTGCTGCTGATGAGTCGCTGCTGTTTCTGACGGAGGCGCTGCAGCCCCCGCAGACGCGTGTTCCAGAGGCAACTCTTGGCTAGCTCCACCGTCTCGCGGAGAGCCTCCACGCGTTGCTGCTGATTCAAGTTCTCGCTCATTCGTCCCTCCTCGTGATTCCTCCGGAGACTTTCCGTGGCCGCCAGCGTGACACGTACTTGGACGCGGCGGACCAGCTCGCTTCGTTGCTGGCGCCCGTGTTGGATGCGCCCGCGGAGGGTGGCGCTGCTGCTGCGGGACAGCTTGACGAGGCTGTCCGGGGCCTGAGGCGGCACTTGCGCGCAGGATCTGGAGCCGCGGCGATCGGCGCAAGCACGCTTGTGGTCCGGGAGTTGTGGCGCTCCCTGACGGGCGTTCTTCACGCCCTTGGAGCTCACCGCATGTAGGCGCGGGCTCCGATCGCCCCATGGTCGCTTTGCTTGTCTAGGCTGACGTAGGGAATGCCATCGCTTGTATGCCGTTGCTTAATGTCACTCGTATGTGTGTGTTCCCTTGCCAAGAGAGACACCTTGCCGTTGCTTAATGTCGCTCGTATGTGCCGCCTACCCAGGTGGCTTCCTAACCCGAGGGTCCCGCTTCTGGAGTACAGGGTCTGTTACAGTGACATCCGTAGCCCATGTCTCGGCCGACTCCCTATCCTGGAAGGCCAAGTCTGCCCGCTTGCGCATTACAGGGGGAGAAAACACCGAGGTCTCGTGAAACGTGTTGAAGCCCGCTTCCTTTGTCATCCTGAGGGCCGCATACACTAGGCTGTTGTGGGTTCTAACCACATCCCCTCCTACCCCGCAACGAAGTAGGTGATTGGCAAGGCTGGTGTCTGAAATACTAGAACCGTCCTTCTTGCAGGGGCACGTCACTGTGACCGGTAAGGCAAGCCCGAGGCGGAAACCTAGTGCCATCGAGAACTGACCAGGGGATAATGTAAGGTCAGATCTCGTAGGCACTGCATGCAGCCAGTCCCCCGCCCCTGTCCCCTTTAAACTGACTAGCCGTATACCGTGCCCACACTCCTCCCTCGGCCTATCCACCATTGTGTCCGCCAGGAGCTCTGCCGCCCTCCTTGTGTTGATGTGCTTGGACAGAATCAGCTGCAGGTTTCCCTGTCCTGGCGGGCCTATTCTGTATGCCTGCAGGGCCGTGTTGGCAGCTGCCGGAAGGGACGCCTCGAGGGCCACTAGCCTGTTCACCAGCGGGGGATAAGGTGCCCAGTCATGAGAGAGGAGCATGGTAGCTCGGCTCAGGAGGTGCACCTCGGACAGATGCATCTGTTGTAGCAGTTGCCGTGCTGCCGTCACCGAGGCAATGTACGCCGCTGGGGCCTCTGAAATAGGGTCGACGATGCTCAGGCCGCCCAAGCGCACGGGTAAAGTCGTCTGCCGCCAGAGCAGGCTCTGCTCCAGCTCCGTGGTAGGGATCCGTAACTTCGCCGCAGCAAGTGAGGCGCCGACCAAGGACTCGCTCCAGGCCCTCCACTCGCCCCTAGCAAGAGTCTCGCTCGGTGTTGTGCGGAGCAGATAGGAGATGCGGCGGGAGATGCTACGGGATAGGAGTAGCGCATGCTGGGGGTGAAGCTGTGCGATGAGAGGCACTGGAGCCGACGCCTTAACGAGCTCCGCACGGATCTGGTCAGTGCAGAACTCCGGAGTTCCTATGGGGCTCCCCAGCACTTGTATCCCCTCCGTGCTCATCACCAGCCCGTGTGGCAGCTCTGTGTTCCCCTCAACCCCTCCTGTTCTGCTCCAGGCCGAGGACTTCGTGATGTTGCATCGCAGCCCACACTTCGCTAGTTCCGTCACGATAATGTCGAACGCCTTGCAGGCCGCTTCCATGGGGCCGACAATGGTGATATCGTCCGCGTAGGCGACCAGAGCTGCCTCCGGGACGAGCGATTTAGCACTCTGTAGGGAAGGCTGGATGGCTGCCGCAAACAGAAGCGGGCCAAGAGGGTCCCCTTGACGGACTCCGCGTGAAGAGATGATGTGCTCCACGCCTAGTCGCGGATCGACGAGAAGGCGTGACGGCCCATCATAGAGCGTGCCGACCAATGGTAGCAGCTGGTGCAGGTCTGTCTGTGAGAGCGTTTTGAAGAACACCGCACGTTCGACGCTGTTGAACGCGTTTTCCACGTCTAGCTGTAGGGCGACATAGCTGACGTTCTCTTGTAACAGCGACCGCACTGTGTGGATGATGCATTCAGCGCCTCCCGTTACCGACACACCGTACTGCACTGGAAGAAAGAACTCGCGAATCGTGGGCGCTAGTCCCTTCAACGCCGTTTTCGCTGCAACTCTAAGTAGAGCATCGCCTATCGCGATCGGGCGGACACCTCCTCCGGGTTTCTCCAAAGCGATTAAACGGGACGGGAGGATGAGTTCCCGAACCGCCTGTGTCTGCTTGCCATTGAGTAGGTTGCGAATGACCTGGGTAAGTAGGCACAGCACCTCACCGCTGCAGTGTGCTGGATCCTTGAGGTGTTCGAAGCAAGTCCCTGATGGTCCTGCTCCAACACCGTTCGGGAACTTCGCCAGGATATCGCGTAGTTCGTCAGGGGTTACACTGATTGACGAGGCAATCTGTGCGGTTATCCGGTTCGGGATATCCATCTCCGCAACAGGGTGTTTCGCTTGCAGGGCTGTGAGGGTCGCTGGTGTTGCTTCAGCAAGGGGTGTAGCTTGTAACGCTACTACCGCCTTTGAAAGATTTGCCTTCTCTCTCTCTCTCTCTCTCTCTCTCTCTCTCTCTCTCTCTCTCTCTCTCTCTCTCTCTCTCTCTCTCTCTCTCGCTCTAATGGTCCGTAAATTGATAGAGTTGGAAGGTACAGACATGCAAGATATGGATGGCAAGGTCTAGCTAACCAAACAAACAAACAACACCAACCAGACACACAACCACCACACCACCGCCCTCTCTAGAGCTCCAGAAAAGGCTCAACTACCGCGAAGCAATCCCCAAGGTGCAGCTCCTGCCCTATGCCTCCCACAGGGGGGTTTTCTGCCGCTGCTGCCTCGCCCAACTTAAGGAGGAGTCCCACGGATTGTGCTCTCTGCAGGGCCACCGACCACCGTTGCCTGAATTGGTGCAGAAACTTGGCGGCATAGTAGGATTTTGAGTCGGCGTTGAAGTGGCGCCGAGCCGCTGTGTCTGCCAGGAGCTTGAGGAAGACAGGCACCTCGGCGCAAGGACTGCCGTAGGTGTCGACTGCTAGGGGGAAGAAGCCAACCGTCTCTGGGCGGTTGGCGTAATGCTTGATTTTCTTGTCGGCCTGTTCCCGTGCCGCCCATCACCTGCCCTTCTGTGCTTCCGGGTCCCTAGTGCTGATAGGGTCAGTGATCGTAACATCGCAGATGTAAACCGCCCCACTGCTCCTATCAGTCATGGTGAAGTCGGCGGTTTGCTCCTCGATAGGGCAGTAGGCCGCTGACTCCCTATGTACGACAAACCCCGCGTCTTGCGCCATGCTAACGCAGGCGTTGCGCAGCTCATTGTGCGTGTTTGTGCGATGCTTGCCTGTGCCGCAGCGGAGCAGGTGGTTCGGGAGGCGGGGGTAAGTGATAGCCGTGTGTTCTGCGCAGTCACAGTTTTTGGGAGTGGAAAACGGTAGACCAAGACGGAAGCGTACGACGTTGGCGAAGTGCACTGGCCCTATCCGCCTTGTGGGAGTGATGGGAATCGCGGTGAGCCAATCGCCTGTGCCGTAGTCAGTGAGTGAAAACATCCGCTGCGTGTGACCTGCAAGCGGATTCGGCTTCATACGCCTCGTCGCCCGCACCTGGACTGCATATCTGTTTCCGTGGACCTTGAGTCCTAGCACATGCTGGAGCCGGATGTCAGACCGCTCCAGCCGCTCCTTCTCCAGAATCTCCCACGCATCTAACGGCAGTGCCTCCTCGCACTCGGTCAGGTAGGTGTGTAGCGGTGTGCTGTCAACCGGCGGCAGTAGCATATGGTTCCGTGCTAGTGCGAGGGCGTTATCGTGTTCTAGCGATAGGGAGCTGATATAGAGTGCCGCCTGAGTGAAGCTTGCTATGAAGCCGTAAATCCCCTCGACTAGTGGGTCAGTGATGCCCAGGCCTCCTAACGATGGTGGCAGCGACGCTTGTTCCCAGACCCGCGATTGTTCGGTTCGAAAGGTCGAGAAGCGGATATCGCACGATGTGAGGAGCGTGGTAAGCAGATCCCTACCCTACTGGCTCCACTTATCCCGGGGGAGGAGATGGAGTGGTGTCGTCCCGGCGAGGTAAGCAACTCGTCGTGAGATGCAGCGCGTGAGTAGCAGTGCTGCAACCTGGGGGTCCGCTCGCTCGAGTAAGGGTAGGGGCTTTGACATCTCAGCGAGTTGTCCCGCTAGGAACTGGGCTGCGTCGCTGTCCTGCCCCACGAAACTACCCAGCAGCCGCACGCCATTTTTAGATAACGGCACTCCTGGCGGAAGGGAATCTGTGTCGATCGTGCTTGAACTCCAGGCAGCACATTTCTGTGGGTTATGCTCAAGGCCCAGGTGTGCCAACTTGGCCGTGAAGTGTGTGAATGCAGCTACAGTGCGGGATGTGTCACCCAGGAAGGTGACATCGTCCGCATACGCCAAGCATAGGACGTCAGAATGTGCTTCGGCCGTTTCTCGAAACGTGGCGTGTATCCCTGCTGCAAACAGTAGCGGCCCAAGTGGGTCGCCCTGACGCACGCCGCGTTCACTTGTGAGTGGTTCGCTGTTGAAGTTGGAATCCAGTAATAATTGCGACGGGTTACCGTAGGTCAATTTCACGAGCGGCAGCAGTGGCGAGAGGGCGGGTTCGTGTAACGCGTTGGCGATGGCGGTTCGCGAAATGCTGTTGAAGGCATTTGAAATGTCAGCTTGTAGGATCAGGCTGTTCGGGCGGGCATCCGCGAAGGCCTGTGCTGCGTGGATCACTGCCTCTGCTCCACCTGGAACTGCCACCCCGTACTGCAGCGGTAGGAAGAAATCGCGGACCGGTTCTCCCATGATTAATAGGGCGGCTTTCGCTGCCAGCCTCGTCAGGCATTCGCCGATTGCGATTGGCCTGGCCCCTCCCTCTGGCTTGGCCAGGGCTATGAGTCGCGACGCCGTCAGCAGGTTTGCAACCGAGTCAGGCAATTTCCCTCCCAGCATGGTGTTGACCAAGGCGTGCAGATGGATGCGAAGTCTGGCGAAGAGTCAGGCGCGGGAGAAACAGCAGCAGGCGCCATCCCATTTCCGAATCAGGGTTTCGCGATAGGTGGTGTAACGGTGTCAGTAGCGCGAGCGAAAAAAGCTGACACAAGTTTGGCGGTAAACGCCGCGACAGTGGAGGCTGACGACTATCGCAGAGTGCTGGAATGTCCCAGTTCGCGATGGCTGCGAACAGGTCTGTCCGCTTCGCTAGCTCGT